CTTTGGTAGTAAACAGATTTCGTATTTATTTAGCATTATATTTTATTGAAACGCTACAAGTGCCTGTGCTCGTACTAGTCAGTAATTAAGCAGCCATCACTGACCGCGTGGGCGCAGCTGTCTCTAACACACCAGTATGGTGGCCACATCAGTCATTCCACAGCTGTGATTGACATTAAAACGCCAGGCGTGAAACTAGTCTAAATTCCACTTACATCCCGTGTAACTAAGATATCAACAGAGGCGTGTTCAACAGTGCGAACGCTCGCGAGCGTGCGCGATCCTGCTCCCGAGACTGTTCGCGCAGCAGGCGAGTTGTTTTCAAGATGGCGACGGGCAATCTGGCGAATGGGAATCTAACATTTCTGACATCAATTTCAATCGATTTCAACTTTATTTCAATTTTTATTCATTCATTCACTTCTGAATCAGATCATATCAATTTCGTCTGCTAATTCGTTTAATAGTACTTGTTCGAAGACATTAAAATCTCACGATTAAAATCTCCTGAGAAACCCGCCATGGGGGCCGCCATCTTGGATAAAGCAAGCGCTCGTGTGTCGTTCAAGTGGTGCTGTGTTCGCTGCGAGCGTTCGCGCTGTTGAACACGCCTCAGGCGTCACCTGCCACGTCACCAAAATAGTATTATCGTTAGCATTGTCCTGTAGCGTTGACATATAGCATTGTCCTATAGCCTTGGCATATAGCGTTGTCCTATAACATTGGCCATCAACATTGTCCTATAGCATTGACATATAACGTTTACTATAGCGTTATCCTATAGCGTTGTCCTATACTGTCCTATAGCGTTATCCTATACTGTCCTATAGCGTTGACCTATATAGTTCGCTGGAAATCGCCACGACAAGGCGACCTAGCTTCCCTGTTCATGCAGAGTAGAGGCAGTTGACAAATAAATGCCCTGCGCGAGAGAATATATCAGCGGGGCAACTGATTGGCTGCTCTTTAGACGTACCTGGCGAAGACGTTTCCACTGCCGCCCGGGAACGTGTATGGATGCTGCTTGCGGAAGACGTGACCGACGCGACTGCAGGGGATGATTTCCAGGCTTCCGCCGCACTGCCACACCCTGAAGGAGATCTCTGCAGAGACACAGCAAGCATGACCAGTTAGCTATAACGCATAGCAGCGTTAACAGATACACCCACACGCGCGCGCGCGAGCACACACACACACACGTGCGCGCACACACGCATGCACGCACACACACACGCGTGCGCCCACACACACACACATGCACACGCGCGCGCACACGCACACATGCACACGCGCGCACACACGCACACATGCACGCACGCACGCACAAACACACACACACGCGCGCGCGCACACATAGCAGCTGTAACATGTATAGCCTTAACATAAGATCACGCGAATGCACGAAATCGCAGACACACGCAAATGTACGTTCACATACTCACGCCTGCACGCACGCACGGACGCACGCGCGCACGGACGCACGGAAGAACGGACGTACGTGTGTATTTTTTAACTGTCTGTCCAACACCATGCAGCCTTCCCCGTCATTCAAACATTATTATATTACTAGTAGTAGCAGCACTATAGTTGTGCCGTATGTTTCGTTGAACTAATAAAAGATAAACGCATTTCGCCAACAGCGCATCACAGAACTTGATGAACAAGCTCCAATGACACCTAATTGCCTGCCTGGTCTAGCTGGCGACCTTCTAGCTAGTGACGCTGCGCTCGCACTGACAGCGATGCGATTCAATTATCCACGCGCAACCGTCAACCACAATCACGAGCTAGCCGTGCGCCAAAACGCTGGCGGATAATGAACACATTTACGCTCACTTAAGCGCTTGTCTACTCATTTGTCCTGCTCCCTACTCATCTGTGTCAACCGCCTGGCCCCGGCGGCCACGCGCACACCGACTGCCGGTATGCATGAGGGTCGCGAGAGGGCTGTGTTCACACGGCACGGACAGCAATTACGCAGATACACGTACTCGCTACATCGTCCGCTGGTTTTAACCTGCGATATGTTATTAGATGACACGCGATTTACGGCGACATATAGGGCAATATACGTCACACGCAGTTTGACAATAAAGAAAATTCCCTGGGAGTGTAAAAGCTTGAATTTCGACAATAATGGGGATTTAATCAGCTAAAATTGGCGCACGCAGGCAGTAATTCTATTGTTGGCTGATGCTCTTAGTTGGACGTTACGCATTATCACTAAATATTATATATTGCCGAGTATCTTGCGAGTATGCTATCCGTAAGTAAACCTTTTAATATATACTGCTATTGTTAACGCACGCGGATTCATGCAGGTAACAACATGGAACAAATCGCTCGCGTGTCTATTTATTTCACTCGCTTCATCTGTTCACGTCTGATGAGCAACAACAAGAGGTGAAGAACAACAGATATCATCGTAAGCTGTCGGTCTCGAGTGCTCACCAAGGTTTTCTCCACCCCAGATATCCATCAGCATGTCGTATTTGCCAAGTGTATCGAACCACGATCGATCCATTGTGAACAGCCCTCCGGCTATCATTGGGGTCCTGCGAAAACATAGCGATAATGAATTGCAGCCGCAAGTATATTATATAGAGAGTCACCCTTGAAGACGGTTAGATCAACGAGTGAGTTTATGCACTTCCGTGATCGCATGCACGCGTGCGTGTATCAGAAGCATGACGCGTGCTGGGACAGCAATGACTGATGCTGAACAACGTCAGTGTGATTCGCTACACAGTGTATCTGAGTCAGAGATAGCAAGACTCCGGGAAGCAGACTGACCCCCCCCCCCCGGCAGCAGATGATTTTTATTCCCACTCAGATAGTAGCATTAATTTGCATAAGCGGCACTGATTGGCTGTTGCCATGGCGCTAAACAAAGGCGCCGATTGGCTCGATTTGACACTTTTACCGTTAATTCTATAACAGTGAACTCATCATGGAAAAGCTTTGTCAATGCACGGCAAGAAATATAACTGACTATCCAGCTTTACATGTAAGTTTCATTACGGATTTTCATGAATAAAAACGAGAGCAATAGCACATACTGTATATAGTATGATACTGTAGTACTGACTGTGATAATGGGCTCAAAAATCTTCACAACTCACCGCGCGCGAAACCGCCAGCCAATCAGCGCCGCTTATGCAAATTAATGCCACTATCTGAGTGGGGCAAAAAATTTAGCACTAAAGACGTCCGAACACAGACTATACGTATCAATTGGCTCGGGGAATCAAGTAGGCCTATTATTATTAGCGACAAGCTTACTTGATGGGAGCGACCGGATCGTTGCGTCTTTTCGCTCTCATCTCAGGCGTCATGTAATCCCACTTGAACACAAGGTTCCAGTCAAAACCTGCAAGCAGAATCAAGCCAACGCTCGCAGTGATGCAAAAGGTGTCGCGACGTAGGAATTGCATGGAGGGTTCAAGGAGCACCACTAGGTATAAATGTATGAGCAGCTGTCTGCCTCTGATTTCGCATGTTTCCACAATTACGTAATAGGTTTACCATGGATACAAAATTTAACAATCTGCTACAGCTATTGATCCCTCTGATCACTCCTCCGATTTCTCTCTACGCACACACGCGCTCACGCCCACACGCCGCACATACGCGCTCACGCACACACGCCGCACATACGCGCTCACACACCCACGTCGCACACACGCGCTCACGCTCACATATCGCACACACCCACGTCGCACACACGCGCTCACGCTCACATATCGCACACACGCGCTCACGCACACATGTCGCACACACGCGATCACGCACACACGTCACAAACACGCGTTCACGCACACACGCCACACACACGCGCTCACGCACACACGCCGCACACACGCGCTCATGCACACACGTCGCACATACGCCGCACACACGCGCTCGCGCACACACGCCGCACACACGCGCTCGCGCACACACGTCACACGTCACACACACGCGCTCACGCACCCACGTCGCACACACGCTCTCACGCACCCACGTCGCACACACGCGCACACGCGCTCACGCACACACGTCACACACAGGAGCTCACGCACCCACGTCACACACACGCGCTCAAGCACACACGCCGCACACACGCGCCGCACACACGCGCTCACGCACACACGCCGCACACACCCACGTCGCACACACGCTCACGCACACACGTCACACACAGGAGCTCACGCACCCACGTCACACACACGCGCTCACGCACACGCGTCACACATACGCGCTCACGCACCCACGTCGCACACACGCGCTCACGCACACACGTCACACACACGAGCTCACGCACCCACGTCGCACACACGCGCTCACGCACACACGTCACACACACGCGCTCACGCACCCACGTCGCACACACGCGCTCACGCACACACGCCGCACACACGCGCTCACGCACACACGCCGCACACACGCGCTCACGCAACCACGTCGCACACACGTCACACACACGTGCTCACGCACCCACGTCGCGCACACGCGCTCACGCACACCCGATAAAAAAATCGTGAGCCCCCTTAGGTCTTTGCCCCCCCC